TTGACACGTACTTAGTTTATTTTTGTATCGAATTTCCTTTTTTGGGTTTGTATCACTCGCAAAAATAAGTAAATCCCTTATATTATATTAGTCGTCTCATTAAGCATGATACACCAACTTGATAAACAAAAATTTTACATATTAACTTGCAATTAAATAGATATATTTAATATTTGAGGATTTATAGAACATATTTATAAAAAACAAAAAAATTAATTTTTTGATTACATATTGTTTAAAAAAAGTTCAAAGTTCGTTTTCTCTTGTATTTCTACATATGAGCTACCTTTATTTTTTGTCGAAATATGAATATAAATGAATGAAAAAAATCATACACATTTAACATTCGTATAATGAACTGACAATTCTTATAGTAAAAACTAGGGTCAACGGTTTACATTGCAATAGCATTAGGTGTATCAAATTAAAATGAGATCAGGAGGCCGATTGGCGGTTAGCGAATTTGGTATTTGCATACATACTATATATATAATCCTGTACCAAAGCTCTAATCATTTATTGCATTACTAAGTGGTGTACTGTGTCGTATCATTTCAAATTTTATAAAATACAGTAATATGTACAGTACACTATATATGTATATTCTTGTATAATTGTATGTTTCAATAAAAATATAACCAATGTCATATATATGATTTAATGAAATTCTTATATTTTTTAACGTTCTAACAACTTTAATTGCAGATTTCTAACGCAACTCTAAAATTTGCACATGTGCGAAGCACAAGTTTCTAGCATAACGTTAAGATTATTCATGTCTAAAAACAGGTCATAACTAGTGTAATTAATAACATTGGAACTACTATTTTGAATAACATTATAGACTACTTGTCCAAATAATATCATAGACCTACTAAACTAAGTAATTTGAACTTGAACATAACTAGACTAGATATTTATTCATATTTTGGTTTATTATAGAGAGGCGTTTTGCATTTGGCGCGGAAAGGACGGGTATGTTCAAAATAAGTTAGTTAATGAATATTCACTATTTCTTATAAATATAGGTTCTTGTCTCTTTCGTTCAAGTATTACGAAAGGGTTACGCCAAGACTAAATTAACATTTTTATCGGCTTGTTCTAAAAAACCATTTTAATACGAAATGAATATCATTAAAAATACAATTATCTTCTTCGTCGTTTGTATTATGGTCTTTGGAATTCTTGCTCAAGCTCAAACTGCGTAAGTTTCAAAAGTAACTTCGGAAATTCAATATTTTTTGTCAGATGATTGTGAAATCGGATGGATCTATTTTATGTACGGATTTATATTTACCCAAATTTCTCCATCATTCGATTTCAAGACCATCCGCGACATTTTTTTTATTGTTTTTCCGACGTCTTTCTTTCCAATAGAGCACCCGATCCTAAAGGACCCCCACCGTCCGCGGCACCTGTCGGATCGGTGCCACCCGATCCTAAAGGACCCCTACCGTCCGCGGCACCTGTCGGACCGGTACCCTCCGGACCGCCACCCTCCGGACCGCCACCATCCGGACCGGCACCATCCGGAGCACCTGCTGGACCACCAGCTTCAAAACCCGGTGCACCAGGTCCCACTGGTATGGCACCTAGTAGTATATCGTGAGTATATATATATTTTTGGTTGATTATTAGAACAGTGTTGGCATTTAGATTATGTCCAATAAAAATTTTATTTAGGCTTGGACATGGACTAATTCAAATAGTGTCCATGTCCATATCTTTGCTGAAAATTTCGTAATTTTTCGTAATTTTCACCGCTCTTTCTATTCGGAATATTTCGAAACAGTGTTTGATTTGGACTAAATGCCTAAAAAAAATATGGAAAATATGGACGTAAACCATAAATGTCTATATTTTAACAACACTGTTTTATCGATTTTTTTAACTAATCATCATATATGCAATACGTAATAATTATCATTATTATTATTATTACTATTGTTGGTAATATAAAGTTCAACTACACCTTCAGTCGCCACTGCTGCTGCTTCAGACGTTCACGTTAACTGTTTAGAATTGATCATTGGATCTTTCATTGCTTTATTTATCGGTGGTTTATTAAGTTTTGATAATTTAGTTTATATATAATCAAAGCTCTTTCGGTAATATATATAATATGTTCACAGTACAAATGGAAGTTTGTAATATAGGTTTCCATACAATTCTTTAAAAAAGTTTCATTATCTCTTAGTAATATACAATATACAGCCAAGCCTGTATAAATCAATACAAATTTTAGAACCAGGTTGGTTACTAAGGTTAATTGCATAAACTGCTTAACTGAATAATGCATAAAGAATTTTCAAATTTATTAGTAAAAGATTCATAAAAACTATGCTATCTAAATACAGTATTTTAAACTTTATCTGCACATTTGTTACACGAAATTGTATAATTTGATTGGTTAAATTGTAAAAATTTTATGTACGTACGTAGAATATTGTTATTTACCACCAGTGGCGATATAACTACCACAGTGGCACCAATGGATTTTCACTAATCGTCATACATAGAATGTTACATTAGCGTTAGTGTCAGGTTTACTATACAAACTATATTGATTATATTGATAACGACATTTGTTTTTTTTGTACGTATAAAAACCTTAGATCATACATATTAAATTTAGGAGATTTACAAATAAGGGCCCAGAAAATGAAAATAATTACAAATACGGGCCCAACTTAAAAATAATTACACATGAGGGCCTAATTTTTAACATATAAGCGCCCAAAATAGCAGCGACATTATTCAAGTGATCATTATTAGTACAAGAAATATAAGCATCGATAATGTAGTTATTAAGTACATAAAAAATGTAATGATCGATTGTAAATTTCATTTTCTTTGTATAAAAATCTGTTATTGTTATAACAAACCACTATGATATCAAACAAAGTACTGCGAATTGGAATAACATTTACTAAGAAGATAATTGTTCTGCTCTTGGGAGCTACTCTGTTAAAACTTAATCGTTGTATAAATAATTGTGCTAGTTTAACACTACTTTTTATACAATATTTAAGCGAAAATGATTGTAACTAGCGTTTTATTTATTTTTTTTATCTAATAATTGATATCTAGATAACTCTAAATGTCTATAATAAAACAATCAATAATTCTATAATCGTGATTTTGCAATTGTTATAAGTCAAATGGTTAGGGTACTTTGTGGCACAGTTGTTCTGTGATAACGTTTTTCATCCATCAATAATCATTTTTAAGTTGGGCCCGTATTTGTAATTATTTTCACTTTCTGGGCCCTTATTTGTAAATTTCCCGTGATTAGTGCTGTTAAAAGTCCGATCCTATCTGTCTGGACTCCTCAAATAAGGACTTTGATCAGGACTCGATCCTTGAGTCGATCCTTAAGTAAGTTTGCAATAATAATACGTGATTTACTAATACGTATGGAACAGGAGGAAACGTTGATGTTACACAATTGATTTTACACAAGGTGTGAAATCAATTGTGTAACATCAATGTTTCCTCCTGTTTACGTATGGGTCAACATAAATTAGCCAATCAAATGACTAATTTCCATGGTTCTAAAAAGTCTCTGCCTAGTTAACTCAAGGATCCAGTTCAACAAGCTTTTTTACAGCCCTACCTTTCACAAAACTAGTTTCCTTACAAGACTACTTTTTAATAGTTTCTATCTGCAAGATTAATTTTTAATAGTTCCTCTGCAAAACTGATTTTTAATAGTTCCTTATGAAATTTTATAAATTAGCATAAATTAGCCAATCAAAATGACCAATTTTCAGAACAAACAACATTCTGATCCTTACATTCAGATTTGTTTTAGAGACATCAGACATATGCAATCGCATAATAGGCTTATAAAATGTGATTAATTTTTATCAAATTCATATGATTTATATAGCATTTGTGCAGTTATTTTTAAGCAAATAATAAATAAATATATAATATAATTGTCATAATTATTACAATTATCATTTATGCATCATAGTTATTACAATTGCTAGTTATATTAATAATTATAATTGTTATATTATTATTATTTAATTAAAGAAAAATTAAATCGTAATTAGTTTTAACATTAAAATTTTTATTATTTCAATTTTATCAATAAGAAAAGCAAAAGTTACAGTTTTAGAACATATTAATTCTAGTAATTATAAAGATAACTTTTATGAATCAAATAATAAAATGTTTTGTATTGCTTGTAAACACATTATTAGTTATGTTAAAAAATTTATAATCAATAATCATCTTAATTTTGTTTTTTTTAAATATTAAAGTGAGTACTTGCGACTCAAAATTTTATTAATAATATATTTGGCTAATAGTTGTATTACAACCACAGAGGACAATCATAGAGAAAGTGTACAACTAGCTACTTATATAATTTTAGTCATTGTCTAATTTAAGTAATCTGCCTGAAGGTTTTACATTAGCTGTCATACCTGGAACCCACTTGTAGGTTTCCTATTTAACCATTCTGTTTCTATATCCACCTACCTACCTTTGTCTACTAATAACTCTGGCCAATGCTGATAAAAATATGCCATGGCCACTAAGTATTTAAAGCAGTTTACTTATATGAGAAACCTTTGACCTTGTACTAAATCTTCCAGAATCTTCTGTATCTTATTCTTATAGCTGACCTAGTATTACTATAGCTGAGACCAACATTGGCAGTTAGGATGTATTATTAAACTACTATATCCTTGTAGAGTTCATCCTAACCTTGGTACTGACTTTACAATATATCCTTAATACTTTGGTATTTAATTCAAGTTCTACCAAGCTGCCATTTCAGATAGCCTAGAAAGGTAAAGTGAGACTATACCTCTGGTTTACATGTTTGCTAACATGTACTCTTTTTCTCTGAAATCTGAAAATTCTAGTGGCCTGGTTAGTTCATCCAGTTCCTTTTCAAAGACCAGTACATTTACTTGGTTTCACAAGTTCTAGCTTTGTTTCATAAGTCTAGTCTTTACAGTAGCATCATCGAAGGTTCAGATTATCTTTCTATTTAGTTCTTCCAAGTAGGCTTCTATCTTCCTATCTGGTTCCTGTGATTTACATGGCCTAATGACTTATCTTGGGTTCACACTACCTATTAACAGTTTGTGTTCTCTCATATAATGTTGTACAAGTGCCTAGACCTTCCAGTCATACTAATATAATATGGGTTATAGGTATCCTATCCCAACCAATCACAGATGACAGTTAGTCATAATACAGAAAGAATTGCAAATTTTTACCATCACTGAGATTTGAACTCTAGACCTGCCACTTGGAAGTTGACAACCTATTCACTTCACTAGGTTATCACACTTCTATCATTTTAATTTTGCATCATATAAAAAAATAAAAAACATTAAGTTATTTTCAAAACAGTCAAATATAGGAGAGAAACAAAAATATTAATTTGGTATTAGTTAAAGTATTTGTAAAAACTGATATTTTACTTAAAAAAATTAATAGATTGCAAAATTTTTTTAAAGAATATATAATTAAAAGTAAATTAATCAAGATTATATTATAATTATAAAACTATAAACTATATATTAAATTAAGTATTATTTTTAATTATAGGTAATAAAATAGTTAGTACAAATTAAATGTATAAACATTACTTTCTACAAATTTTTTAACATAAAGTAGATGAATTAAAGAATACTTTAATTGATCAAATTATTTTAATTACTATTGATGAAACTACAAATGCTTATAATTGTAATGCTGTAAATATTTTATTTAGTTTTCAAGCTTAAACTAAGTTGATAAAAACAGAATATCTAAATAGTGTTAATTATTTTATAATTTCTTATTTAATTATAGTATTCACAAAATCAAGTTAAAATTTGAATTTGAATTAAATATTTAAAAATATTTAATTAATTTTTTAAGAATTTGATTAAATATTTTCAAATATTAAATTCAAATTTAAACTTTGACTTGATTTTGCAAAGTACTATTTAATTATAATAACTTTAAGTTTTTATAATATTCTTTTTTTAAAAGTTATTCTGTTTATTAGTAACAATGTCATATATATAAAAAAAGCTTATTTAAATATATTAGCTTATTTAATGTCTCAACTTAAACATAATTGCTATTTTGCTTATATTCTAAGTTTAGTTAGAAATTGTTAAATATATTTTAATAGTTTTACTTCTTGTTTATGTAACTTTAAATATTAAAAATATATTTTTATATTTACCTATTCATAAAAAAAAATAGTTAAAATATTTTTTCTTCAAACATTATTTTATTAAATTCTTTTAATTTATCTTTAGAATATTCTAAACATAATTTACAATTATCTTCTTTATTTATTAAAACTTATTAGAATAGTTAGTTTAATTTTGTAATTTGGTTAAAACTATATTTTTTATATTTAGTTCAATTTATTATTACAGAAAATGCATTTAATAATTCTTCAAAATCAATTAAAGAATTGGTTAAAACTTTATTAATTCATAAAAATATTTCAATAATTGAAATAATTATTAAATTTATTATCTTAAATGCTTAACAGTAAGTAATAATATTTTATTACAAATATATATATATATATATTATTATTTATTACTAAATAAGCTATTAAATTTTTTAAACTAATTCAAG